ATTTATCAAAATGATGCATTTGGATCTGGTGCAGCGAACGCTATGAATAATGCATTTAATGCAAGCAATATAAATGTGGTACAATTGATTGTCTATGATATTGTTAAAAGAACTATTGATGGCGATTTGAAGGCTATTCTAATGAATAGTCCATCAAGAATTGCTATTTTATGGACTGAATCAAGCTACACATCATTAATATTACAAGAGGCTCTTAATTCTAATCTTGTTGGTCCACTTTTCACATGGATACTTAGTAATAAAATTTCATTTGATTCTTTCAATGAAATTTATTATCAAAATTTAATTGGAATGCTCTTAATTGAACCAGTTATTGGATCAGTTATTAATGCACCCTATGATTTTCAATTATTAAACGAAGCATATAATATATGGCAAAACTATGAAAATGAAACATATCCTGGATCAACCAATGTTGATTATTATGCATTATTTGCATTTGATGCAACATGGGCATTAATTAAATCCTTAGAAGAATTATGTTCATCAAAAATAAATAACTCTTCTTCATCATGTTTTTCTTTTATTGAATCTTCATTCTGTTTTGACTTTCGTTTCAATCAATATGATTTATTATCATTAATACTTGCTAGAGCGAATTTCTTTGGTGTATCTGGTTTTGTGGGATTTAGCAATAATACTACAGATCGAACAAATGGTTCATATTATTCTTTAAAAAATGTTCAAAAATATGTAAATGGTTTGAATTTTGTACCTGTATTAGAATACGTTGGTTCTGAACATTGGAGAGTACCTGTAATACAAAATGGTATTATATGGCCAGGAAATTCCTTAACACCACCTACTGATCGAGCACTTCTTCAAGGTGTAAGTTTACGAATTGGTTTAATTGAATCAGTTCCGTTTATAATCGTTCAGAATGTAACAGATGAAAACGGACGCAGTACAGTACAATATACTGGCTATGGATCTGATCTTATTCAGCTTTTAATGGATCAACTTAATTTTAGTGCAACTCTTATATTGGCACCATCAAATCAAACATATACCCAAACTGTTTTCTCAGTAAATAAGGGTGTGTATGATATTGTCATTGGTGATGTTACCGTTACTGCTGCAAGAAGCGAAGTGGTTGGTTTTTCTAGTCCTATATATGATAATTCTTTGCGCCTTGTCGTGAGACAAGCAAACAATGCTGGTATCAATTTCTTTGCATTCTTAAAACCATTTTCACGTAGATTATGGGGTCTACTTCTAGGTGCTTGTATTTATGCCGGTATTTTAATGTTTATTATCGAAAGAAGAAATAATCAAGATTTAAAAGAACGATCAATTATATCTCAATTAACAATGAGCATATCAAATTATTCATAAAGGACTTCTGAATGAAAATGATATTTATTCATTCCGTCTCTTTTCTCTTTAAATATATCTTGTTTTACCGATCTTCTTTTCTCATATTAATCATCATTATTAGTAAAAAAGACAAACGAAAGTCAATTTCTATAAAAACTGTATTTGTTAAAATACAGGATGTCCCAAAAAAACTTACCCCCTTTTTGAAATTTGATTTCTGCACTTATACTACTGAGTTTGGAACTAACGTCTATTGTAATAGATAGAGCTAAGAAAATGCTACAAGACACAAATGCTTTTATTTTGAAGCGACTCTATTGTAGGTAGGAACACACAATAAACTTGTTAGTTTCGAATTTTGTTCCGGGACCAAATCATGGTTGTATAGGGTGTCCCAAAAAAAACTTAGCCCCTAGATTTTTTTGGCTTTTAAAAGAAAATACATTTCAAATGTAAAACAAATTTTATTTCAAAATCTATAAGGATCTATAATCATCATGACATAGGCGTTTCCCGCCATTTTTTATTAATAAAGAAGTTCGTCGAACCATTGATGAAATGATGGATTGACATTGCTGAGACGAAAATGATTGCCAATTTTTTTTGATTTCTCTCTTCAGTTCGTTAATATTTGAGTATTTTGTATCAAGAAGTTTTTCATATATAATGCCCCACACCGTCTCAATGGCCCACACATCATTGAATTTCGGACTTTGAACATCAACTGGCACTCTTTCATTAAATAAACTATCAATTTTTCGAAGCACCGCTGGAGTCCGATGAATCTTTGCTGCATCATCTTGAAAAATTGCTTCATGTTTTGGATATTTTTCCAGAATAGATGGATAAGCAATATTAGTAATTACAGTAGATCTTCATATCGAGCACCATTAATTGTTCTTTTCTTACTTTTCGGCCATTGGTATTCATCCAAAAATTCGTCGACAAATACAGGAACCTTTTTTGGAATTAAATCATTCCAACTTATGCCACCCCAAAGCATAACACCAGAAGAAAACTTTTCACGACCATAATAACCACCATGTGTATCAGCGTCTCGTCGACTAGTAGACCAAATTATATCATTTTTGATGCTGAGCTGTGGTGTCAGACGAATAGGTTTAGAAAAATCAGTATTGACTAATCGTTGCCATTTAGAACTTGGTACTTTTGGATCAAGTTTCCAATATCTTTTCAGCCAACGAGCAAATTTTCTTCTTTTCATGATATGTTGTTCTGTGACCTTCGAAGATGTTCGACGATGATACGGTTCAGCAATAGTTCGCAAATTTCGATGAACAGTAGATTTTGATACATTCAATTTTGATTTTGATGCAAACTTTCGAACCGAGCATCTTCTTTTGTTTAAAACCTTTCTTTTCAATTCATTTAACAGTTGACTGTTTGATTTTGTCACTGGACGACCAGAGCCGGATAGACGAATCGTTGTTGTTTCAGTTTCATTAAACTTCTTGACTTGATATTTGATATTTTGTAGTAAAGAATTTTCGCTTGTATATTGTATGTGTTGTCGGTCAAGCATCGGTTTGATATCTGATAAAATTTTTTTAGCTCCCCAATCAGGATGAAGCTTTTTCAAAATATCAACCGTATCACGTACTAGCTTTCTCCCAGCCCTATCCATCTAGAAAAGAAAACAAACAAAATAGCTTATTTGAAGATGAAAAAAAACTTTCTAGAAAGGGGTAAGTTTTTTTTTGAGACACCCTGTATTCAACACCAACTTGATTAAATTTTATTCTCTTAAAGATAAACTCCTAATCCAAATTGAATAGAACTTAGATTTTAATGATATATGTCAATTTCAATCCAATTCATTTAACAGTAGAAGATAATAAAAAGGTTGTTAGAACAACTCCTTTGAAGCTGAAATATGGAACTCACGTATATCTTTGAAGTTCTTATCCCTAATGCATTATGTGTTTAAGGAAATTTTTTTCAAATATTTTGGAACATATTAGAATACTCTATAGAACCAAAATCCTTCTGTGCATGATTGTAGAGCTTAATAGCACTAAGATTTCTACAATGAGAGTTGTCTATAAAAGTGGGGATCTCCTCGTATGGAACATATCTATAATATTCTTTTTTGTGGCCAAGTGTCTGTAATGATAGCGCGAAGGAAACTCTGGAAATCTCGGTCTCAAAATTTACACTGACTCTTTTCTTCGAAAGTATATATAAGTTCCACAAAAACTCTTCATTGAAAAGAATCTTCAAATATTTCAAAATTCAACTAATTTTTTCATTTTCCTTATTAAGCCGCCCCCCCCCCCCCCAAAATCTATCTCAACCCAGGAACATCCAAATTCCATGAAACTTTCAGGATATATTGGGGTTGGAAAGAAAAGACTACCATAACATTTTCGGCCCGAAACCTTTTTGATTTTAGGGAGATATGAACCAAACAAGGGTCAAAAATGACTGATTTGGCATCCCAAATTTTTCGGTCTTGGTTCCTTCAATATATTAATATTTTTTTTTCTTGGAAAGAGCATCTTAAGATGCAGGGCAGGATGGGGCCGTTTTTTTGAAATAGTCGATTTTTAAGCGCAAAAAAGAGATCATAAGTTCAATTACTGAAAAAAGTGTCAAAAAATGGTAACCAAATCATATAACTGGCTGTATATTAACCAAAAAAAGGTTTAATTAAAAAAAATGGCCCCATCGTGCCCTGCGCCTTGAGATGCTCTTTCAAACAAAAAAAAAATATTAATACATTGAATGAACCGAGAAGGAGAAATTTGGGATGCGCTTTTGAGAAAGTGGAAACTGAGAAAAAACGAAAAAGATTTTGGCGAAAATTTTTTTGATATTCTATCATTTTTAGCAATTTTTAGCGTCTATTTAAAGAAATTGACTAACAGTTGTCTATATAATTTTGAATTTTGTATAACCAGAACCTTTTATGACATGTTGAACATCTGTAAAATATTATGTTACTTATATCGACAGGGACATGGTCGACTTGATCGAAAAAATACTGGTAACATTAACTATACATTGTCTCATTCTTTTTTGTTTACTGAAAAGGATACTTATTACAAATATATTGTATCACTATATACTAAAACCAGCATTTATGATGTATAATTGTTATCAGAGAGAAAGAAAGAAAAGACAAAAATAGTCTAACAAATGACTAATTCTTATGAAATGTATCGATCATACTAGAACACATCGTTTGCGATGCCTTTTCTTTGTTTTGCTTTCCTTCCCTCTTGAAATTTATTTTTTCGTGTTCTCTAATTTCCAGTCATGTTCTAAACATACAAGAACGTGTGCCACGTTTGTTTGTCTTTTTTATCAGTATATGATGATATTAGTGTGTTCAAAAAGTAAATAAACGAGGTCAGATTTTGATTTCATAAATATTTTTTTAGATTTATATTTGACTTATTATCACAGCTGTTTTTTCAAGAATTGTTGATTGAAACGTCATGTCCAATAGAAAAAGCGTAAAACGGTATGTGATATCAAACAAATTTTTATTCTATTCTCTATCTGAAATCATTGAATATTGTAACTAATGCTGTAAGGAAAAAATTTTTATTTGATAATTATTCTTATTATAATAAAAAAACTTTAATATTAGACGCAGTAGACGAAGAACATCGATTCGTAACGTTCAAAATAAATGAATGGAAGCATCATCTTTACAATCGAAAAACATATCAACAACACAAACTACAACGTCAAATCTAACTACATCTTCAACACGTTCGTCTTTACCATCACAACAGAAGATTAAAAAAAAAACGAAGTTGGATATAACATCAACATCATCAAAGTCATATTCGAAAGTACCATTGGATAGATACTCAATAATACAAACTCAAGTGTTATTGTCTCTTATTTTCAAGACAAATTGTGAAGCTTGTAGAAATCGTTGGAGTGGAAATATGAACATCAACAAGCGCGAAGGTTTATTCCTGATATTATCTTTTCAATGTTCAATATGTCAAAACATAATCACCATTGGTAAGTAAATATTTCTAACTATCGAGTCCGTCTGCGTTTTATTGATGTATCCAAAATTTTTTTCAATTAATTTTTAGAAACAAGTCCGAAGATTGTTGCATCAGATCGCCGAGACATCAACGTAAGATCAAAAATAAGTGGTCATTTATGTGGTATCAGACATGCTGGATTAGTGAAGTTGATGGGTGCTCTGAATTTACCGAGTCCCATTCAAGATGAAAGATATTCCAAATGGGATAGAAATTTACTAATTGTAGTAAAATCATCCACCGGAAGATCGATGAAGAAAGCAGTAGAGGAAACTGTAGCTGCTGAAAATGGTACAGAATTAATGGTTAGTGGAGATGGATTCTGGCAGACTCGAGGTTTCCAAAGCAGACATGGTGCGGCTGCTCTTTTATCTTGTAACCCAACACCAAAAGTACTGGATATAGAAACATGCAGGAAAACATGCAATACTTACATGGGTGAGTTTCTTTTTCTTGATTGAATACTTTTTTTTTAGGTGCACTTTTTATTAAAAAATCCAATCCTGCTAAATATGAAAATATTATTAGAACGCATCGATGTGAAAAAAATTATGAAAAAAGTTCTGATACAATGGAATCTGCTGCTATTCTTACTATGTTCAAACGATCAGTTTCAAAATATGGAGTTTACTATACTAAGTACGTTGGTGATGGTGATTCAAAAACCTTCCCAGTGCTTTCAAAAATCGTACCTTATCCAGGTATACTATATATATTCGATTTGCGAATTTTTTTTCTAAATTAAAGTATGCTCTAACTGTTCTGTAATTTTAGGAAAAGAAATTAAAAAAATCGAAGACTTGAATCATTTTAGCAAAAGAATGAAACGAGGATTAGAAACAATAAAACATGAACACGGACGAAAAAAACTATCTGATGGTAAAACAATTGGTGGTAAAAATCGTCTATCTGGTAAGTCTTTCTAATTCAGAAGAAGATTTCGAAACAAAAGAAATCGAAAATTTGGATATTTTTCTTTATTTTAGTTCATAATATACTTCGATTACAAATGACATTGGCCTCTACCATTCGAAAGTTCAAGCATGATCTAGATTTATTATTTAAAGGATCTTGGGCAATATTTTGGCATAAATATTCGACCAATGATGATCCTCGTCATGATTATTGCAGTATCGATTGGTGTGGCTATTTGAAATCTGTTCATGATAAAACTCCATATGATCATACGTCGCATGCTATACGTCGTCCTGTACTTCATGCAATTAAACCAGTTTTTAACAATCTTTGTTCATGAGAAAGCCTTACACGTGTGGTGGATGATTCAACTCAAAATCCAAATGAAGGTTTTCATTCGCTTGTTTGGCTTATGTCACTAAAACACAAGGCATCATCTGAGACAACTTTCGAAATCGCATGTTGTCTTGCAATAATAATATTTAACGATGGATATTTTGCATTAGGTATGATAAAACAAATAATTCCACAAGCTATTTCAAATCATAATTGAAGTTTTTCATTTTTTTTTCAGATAAATATTTGTTTTATATTTTCACAGGGGATATTTTCAATGTCATGTGTGGTTATCGTGGTTATTATACTGATCAAGCAATGGTACGTTTTGATAACAATCGACTGCATACGGAGTCAAAAGAAAACAACAGAAAAAGAAGAAAAGAAGCTGGCCATGTTTTGATTCAAAATGACGATGAAGAAGAGGACAATGATGCAGTGATTGATGGTGCTGATCAAATAGATGATGATTATAATGATACAAATACTGTGACCGGAGCAGCACCTGAGAATAATGACACAACAACTGATAGTGACGAACATGTCACTGATGATAATGACACAATATCAAGTAATGATGAGTCATTAGATGATGATTATGGTTATTATAATTCCAAAGATAAAAGAACATGGATAGAAGAACAATAAGTAACTGTTAATAAAGTTTTTTTTCTTCTTTTGTAAAATTTTTCATATTAAAGGTTTTTTTAATACAGCTCTCCTCGTGTGTATCAATCAGTTTATTTCTTATTTTTTGCTGTTAGAGATTCCATTTTTCTATAAAAATTATTAAAATATTTTAAAAATCTATCAAAATATTTACTTTTTTGGAAAAAATCTTGAAATTCTCTTTTTTTTTTAGAAAAAAACGTATTTTTCCTGCAGGGGATTACAGAAACCATTAGGGTTTTCAGCCAAAAAAGGTTTTTGGATAGAAACCTATAGCATTTCTGAAAGAGCAGAAGACGGGCTATCTCCCCATGTATTTATCTC